GTTTCTAAAACGAGTAATGGATGTTCCGCATTACTGTTAAAAGTCTTGAAAGCTTTTTGGCTCAAGAGTTCAAGTCAGTGGCAAAGTAGGTAGAGGTGTACTTGTGGAGTGTTAAAAAATTCTCTCAAGGGCGAATATTGCTGTATTTATTCACCTGTAGTTAGCAAAGATTCCTTTCGGATGATGAACGATGCGCTTCCATGTACACCGTCGAACTCTTTTTGCATCCATTCATTGCTTTGTCTTTGCAGCAACTGCTTTTATTCTTTAGACCTTTTGAAAAATCAAGTAGGCATGGTTTTTTTCTTCAGTTTCTGTCTCGTGTATCCTTATTGATGTTATTTTGCTAATCTTTTGTTCCCACTGATAAATTGTAATAACTGATTCGTTTGCAGTCGTCTCCTTACATTGATTTTTTTCATTTTTTGTTTTGCTGTTCCTACTAGATTAATTCGCTCTGTTAGCAGAGAATTCAATAAAAGGTCAGTTTTGAATCAGATATTGAAGTTTTTATACTCATGATTTTTTACATATTATTCCGACGGTGTTTTGCTGACTTGCCTTATTGGAAGCGGCAAATACATTCCAGCAACCTTGCTTACTCTAAATATCATCTTCTTGATAGGTGAGGATGAATATAGGTACAAAAAATATGGTTTTTTTTCATTCTCATTTTGTTGTTGCTCAGTTTTGTACGTACAGGTTGCTCTGATTTTCTCCTGCAATTGCGTGTTTGTTTTAGGAATCGGGTCCTAGTTACACGTAAGAAAAGAAGAATATTTCAAAATCAGCAACGAAATAAAGCGGACTGCTGTTATATAATTTTCTGATTCTCAGTTTCTGAAGGGAAAATTAATTACGTTCAAAAAACATCCCAAAGTAGTAATTTTACTGAAATGAGTGTTTTCTATTTTGAATTTTGTATTTTCGTAACTTGCAGAACACAATAATGAAAAGGCCAGTACCTGTAATGCTTGTATTACTAGTGTGTCGAGTGGTATTCTTTGCCGTTTTATTAATCTATTTTTGGTGACAGCAGTTCCTATATCTCCATAAGTATTGCATAGTTTTTGTCTAAGCAATCGCAATTAAAAAAGGAAAAGAAGAGAGAAAAGAGAAATCGGAACAAGTAACTAAAGTTACATGAATTTTGGAATTCACAATTATATTGTCTTTTACTGTAACGTACATTTAGCCATTTATTCATTGTTTTATAACAAAGGAGCTCTGTTGCTAAAAATTTCAAGGAAATATGCTGTTGCTCGCCAAATTTTTTATTTTATTTGATTGTTAGAAGAGTTTTTTCGTTTGAATACTTTACGCTTTCATCGCTCAATTAGTTCTACTTTTTTAAGCGGTCTGGAACAGCTTCTACTACGCTACGCTTTAGAAGCGTTTACCGTGGTTTATTATGTTTCCGTCTTTTTGATGATAAAACCGCTTGAAAGTTATTTTTTTTTTAAAACCCTTACAAACGGATGACTCTTAGCATTGAGTTTTATGTTTCAAACAAGTGTTTACAAAGCTCTTTTCATTTCAAGGTAGAATGATTAACCGAATACGTGGTGTATTGTTTGGATTATTACTATTCGCTTCTGCGTTATTAGGTGCTGTTTTCTTATTAACTCCCTTCATTCCTCTAATGTTCATCTCTCCTCCAAAGTGGCGCTTTTTTGCAGATCGGTTTGTCGGATATTGGCTCACCTTCCCTGCTGTTAGTTTTGTATTTTTCATTTATTTGATTTTGCCTTTTTCATTTCGTTGTTCTGTATGTTAAACAGTTTTTGTCACTGCATTACGCAGTATTGGAAAAAGCTGTTTTTGTTGTGCAATAATGGTAGATTCCTTGGCGTTCGCCAGTGGGATTTTAATGCAAAAGTTAAATTTTTAAAAAAGTTTCCATTAATCTATAAAGTATTTAAGTAAGTTTAGTTTTAGTCGCTTTGTTACCTCCTCTTTGGTGCGAAGTTTCACGTGTCTGGTGATTTGATAGATCGCAAAGAACCAGCGCTAATGGTATTAAATCATAGAACTCGATTAGATTGGTTATTTTTTTGGACTGCTTTATATAAAATGGATCCTTGGTTGCTTGTTAGTGAAAAGATTTTGCTGAAGGCTTCTCTTAAATTTCTTCCAGGAGCCGGTAAAATTAGCTTTTACTCTGATTGCATTTTTACTCTTTATTTCGTTTGTAAAACATTTTGATAGAACTTGCCAACACATTTATTCGTATATTTTCTACCTATAGAAAAATGTTAAGGCAATAGCTGATGATGTCAGTTTTTTTACAGGATGGGCTATGCAGTGTGCGTCCTATTTATTTCTTGAAAGAAAATATGAATTTGATAGAATGTTAATGGGTGAGACGATTTCTTACTACTGTCGCTGTGGTAACCCTTACCAGGTGAGAAACTTTGGCAAATTTTTACATATGAAAGTAATAGAGACCAACAGTTTTTATCTTTTAGTTGCTACTGTTTCCTGAAGGTACTGATCGAAGTGAGTCGGCCCTTGAGAAAAGCAACGACTATGCCAGAGCGAATAATCTACCTTGTTATAAGCACATTTTGCATCCTAGAACGAAAGGATTTTCATTCTTAGTTCAGGATATGTTAAGAAGTAGTCTGTTTTGTTTTTGTATTTTTAGTTTCTTAGACGCGCTTCTAGCTTTTTACGGGTCCTGTTCTTGAAATGAGTTTTCAGAGAAATATATTCGATATGTATACGATATAACAGTAGGGTACCCAAAGGGTGTCGTCTGTGAGGAAATTGATATTTTGAAAAAAGGACTTTTTCCAAGTGAAATTCATTTTCATATTAAAAAATACAATATCGAGGATCTCCCTGCTGATGATGAGGAGGAGATTTCAAATTGGCTGTGCAATTTATGGAGGGACAAAGAGCATTGTCTCGACCAATTTTATAGCAAAAACAAAATGTTCACCCCTAGCGGTGATCAGTATGTTTGGCCGGTAAGATTGATTTTATATTAAGGACTCGGAAAAAGTGTTTTACAATTCTTTCTTCGAATAAATTTTCACGTCACTTTTTATAATGTTAGGCTGCTGCGAAGAGTTCTCTTCTTGAAGTTATCTAGTATAGCACCGAAAAGGGAACTTTGAAAATTAGTTATATAGGTTCTTTAGGTATTATTCATACATTGGATATTTTTATTTCGTTTTCTTCTTCACAACTGCTGACCGAAAGTTTAGCCTGAGTGGGCTTTATTAAATTGGAAACTAGTGTAAAAACTTCAAATTCCATTTCTGAAAATATTGTTTTTGCTGATAGGTTCTATCGATTTGGTGCAGAGAAATCGTTTCTACAATACTAATCTTAAAAAAAAATTCAACATTATTTTGCGTTTTTACTTTTGAATTTCCGGTTGTGTTAATAGCATGGTGGTTCTTCATCATGAAGGTTTTTCAGGTAGAAACGACGGGTATTGGTTACACTTGTGCACTCATGTTTTGGACTACTTCCTCTATTTTTTGGATATATATTACTTACTTATACTTGGCAGTGAAGTATTATTTTTTTTTCTCGTGTTTGTTTTATATTTTTTGTCAGAAATTTTTTGGTGGTATAGATACCTTAGCTTTAAAGTTATCTGCAAGAGCCTTTTAATTTTGTTTTAACCTTTTTAATGTTCTAAACAAGGCTAAATTGTTATTTTTGAAGAGGATTCTCTGAATTGTACTGGCAGCTGTTTTTCCTGTTGTAGCTCAGAAGTAGTTTTTTTGGGTATGCTTTAAGTCTCTGCAGTGTCGGTGTTGATTACATATAAGTTGTCATAAAGCTTTACGCTCCTGTCTTTCTGGAACATTTTCCAGCTTAATCTTTAATAGCTTTAATCTTCTCCCATCTAGTTTAGTCAATTTAGTTTTCATTGAATTAATGAGTAACTGTGATTTTGATTACTTTTTTAATTGTTGTATATACTCCTTGAGAGTCTGGTCTTTCAATACAGCTTTTAGCAGTGTGGGCTGTGGTTGTTTAAAAATTATTCTTTGAGTCCTGTTTCTCACTACCATCTGATTGCAAAATAATCACTTTCAGAATCTTGTATTTTTCTATTTGCGAAGACGTACAAAGGAGCAGCGATATTAATTTATGTTTAAGTGAACAACAAAATGATTTACTATAATAGAGGTTTTTTGTTTTCTGCTGGCTTCTTGAAATTTGAGAGTGACAGTGTGTAGTTTGAATGTTTAATTACTTCGGTTGTCGGATAGATTCATTAAGGCTCATGTTTGGTATATTGTCACTGTTTTTTAGTGAGCGTTGGATCAATTACTTCATGAGGTTTTTTAATGAAATTGTTTATATATATATATATATATATATATATATATATA